GTTAAAATATATGTTTATTAAATAAAGTCTAATGTTACAACTAATTGGGGATCCCTTTAATGCTCTGCCAAGCCTTCACTTCAGTTGCTGTTTTTTTGTTTAGTCTTTAACAAGTGAAATGTTCAGTTGGGTTGAGATCAGGTGACTGGTTTGGCCGTTCAAGAATATTCCACTTCTTTGCTTTAATAAACTCCTGGGTTGCTTTGGCTTTATGTTTTGGATCATTGTCCATCTGTAGTATGAAACAGACCAATCAGTTTGGCTACATTTGTCTGATCTGAGCACACAGTCTGGCTCTGAAAACCTCAGAATTCATTGGGCTGTTTCTGTCCTGTGTCACATCATCAATAAACACTAGCAGCCATGCATGGTCAAGCCATCACACTGCTCTGCTGGGTTTTACAGATGATGTTATTTGTTTTGAATCATGAGCTGTACCGCGCCTTCACCAGACTTTTCTCTTTCCATCATTCTGGTAGAGGTTGATTTTGGTTTCATCTGTCCAAAGAATGTTCTTCCAGAACTCTGCTGCCTTTTTTTTTACATGTTTTTTAGCTACGTCCAGTCTAGCCTTTTTATTCTTGAGTCTAATAAGTGTCTTGCAGCGTGTAGTGAACGCTCTGTATTTACTTTCATGCAGTCTTGTCTTTATGGTAGATTTGGATATTGWTACTTCTACCTCCTGGTGAGTGTTGTTCACTTGGTTGGCTGTTGTGAAGGGGTTTCTCTTCACCATGGAGATTATTCTGCCATCATCCACCACTGTTGTCCTCTGTGCACACCCAGGTCTTTTTACATTGATGAGTTCACCAGTGCTTTCTTTATTTCTCAGGATGGAGCAAACTGTAGATTATCTCATTCCTAATATTGTAGCAATTTCTCTTTTGTTTTTCTGTTTTTGCGTCTTAAGGATGGCTTGTTTCACCTGCATGGAGAGCTCCTTTGACCTCATGTTTACTTCACAGCAAAACCTTCTAAATACAAGCAGCACACGTCAAATCAGCTCCAGGCCTTTTATCTGCTTCATTGAAAATAACATAATGAAGGAAGTGGTCACATCTGCCAATGAACTTGTCTTTAAGTCATTTGTTCAATTAATGTACTTATGGTCCCTTTGAAACCAGGGTGGGCACATGTTAAGGAGCTGAACTCCTAAACCCTTCATCCAATTTTAAAGTGGATACCTTCAAAAGAAGTCTGACAGTCTTCATGCCCATTTTATAACTATAACTTGAATATGTTTCAGTAAACAGGTAAAAAAACAAACTTTGTGTGAATGTCCAAATAGGCACAGATCTAACTGTAGATATTGAGCTGCAGTGTGGTTTGGTAGTAGCTGAGCATCCTTCCCAACACATACTTTAAGAGTTAACTTTGGCATGCAAAATGGCAGACAGTATTTGTACTTTTAATAAATGCTAGTTTAAATTTGAAATATGCTTGTCTTTTTGAAAATGCAGCAGGAAGTATCAATGTAATTTTATGTTTGTTTTCTTTGGTAAAGATGTGTGAATATTTCAGGATTTTGCTGATCTAACTGTTTCTTCTGTGTTTCCTACATTATCACTGTAAAAAGGACCAAGTGTTTTGCTCTCTGCCTACCTTCCATCTGTGTTTTTAGGCCAAATTCTGTGTGCACCAGTGACTCTAAAGTGATATCTGGGTCATTTGTTTACGCTCCATATGCTTTGGGAATATTTTCTCTAGTTCTGACACGTGGACCAAGTTATAGTTTAAAACTGGTAGGGTGTGTTCTTTCACACTAACACTAAAGCTACTATATTTTATCTTTATTATTGGATAAAAGTCTGTGTAAAACTAAATTAAGCACAAAAACTGAGGTAATTTGTATTTGGTTGATTATTCTTTGTTGTAGCAATGCTTCTTGGCAATAAATTTTATATTGTTGGAAAGCCTGTTTATTTCCTCCTAATTGGTGCCACGTTTGTTAGGAAAATACATTTGTTAGCTGAGCAGCAGCGCTGAGTATGTTTTACTGAGGACAAAGTTGCCAAATCTGCTCTGCCATGCCAAGCAGTTTATTTTGCCATTGACTAGTGTTTGGCGTCATTTATTTAACCGGATGATTGGAGGCTGCAGAAGTGAGACAAACTGGCAATTTACCGATTTATTTACTTAACAAACTGGAGTCTGAGTAGCATGTGAAAGAACCATACACAGCTACAACATCCCGACACCTCCTCTTCTTACGAGCTTTGTCACACCCTGCAGTGGGATTAAGTAAAAACCAGCCCCTTGTTCTTCACTTTGCTTGGCACAGAGGGTCTGGACTCTCGGCTATAGAGAAACGATTGCTTGCTGGAGGTGTGGAGCCTGTTGAAGTTTAAAATGATGGGATCTGATTTACCCAATCGCTAACGGTTGGCTGTGACAAATGTAGTACGCCAGCTCAACTGTGAAGGAAGCTAAGCTAAGACGCTAACCGGAAATTGGGTGCGCTCAGTGTTGGGCACCAGCCCGCTAAAGCGCAAATCCGCTAATTGCAGACCTAAATATTACGTTTGTGCTTTAGCGTTCTTGCTAATTTTTATACTCCATAAGCGGATTAGTGCTTTCTAAAATTAAAATACATACCGCTAATAACTAATTATCTACCAGTCATCATTATCTTGAACAGCAGAAGGTAAGGGTGTCAATGAATCAAATGGACAGCACCCCTCCCAGATAAACACACTTACTGGTAAGGTATTCATCCTTGCTGACTGTTGCTTTTGGCCACGGTTCTCATTTCCCACAATGCTTTGTGTCTGCTTACGTAGCAGGAAGGCAATAGCAAAAACAGTTAACGTTTGTAATCCATACTAAAATTTTGTATGTATTGATTTATTTTACTTTACAATCGGAGCTCCTTTTTTTAAAAAAAAAAAACGTTTAAACGCTGGAGCTCAAAAGCATCGGTCAACAAAATAAAAGCTTGTAGGGAAAAAGTTAAAAGTGCTAAATTAAAATAGATTTATTGCTTTTATTGCTTCACTTTTGTTTTATGTCATATTGGTATTTAAATCAAACATGTTTCTTTCAGTGCTGGTGTTCAGATTTGCAAATGTTCTTCATTTTTGTTCAACAAGTTTTTCCATCATACTAACTGACTGGTTCTGTTTTTGCAGGATGCCAGCTGCTAGCACCATGACCGGTGGGAGGGCCCTGCTGCTTTGTGCAAACACTGACAACTGTATTTACCAATCAGTTAACGGGTAGGTACCTCAGCAGATATGAAGCGCTTAATGTGTTAAGCTTAAGTGGGCTTAATAAATAGGGCTGTGTTGCGCAAGAAGAAAAAAGACAAGGATAATTGAGTCCACTTGTAAAAAAGCTAAAGCAAATTGGAAAATGGTTGTTTCATTTCCTTTTAGGTCATGTTACATCAAGTTTCATTATAAGGTTCTCGCAGGAAACATAAGTCCTTAATCACCTCCTCAGATTTTGTCTCGATAACACGTCTGTGAGTTTCCCATTCAGCAATGTCATCAGAAAATCACAGAGAGGGGCCAAGTTTCCTTCGTTTGTTGGGGGAAAGCTTTTGATAGGCACTGGGCCAAAACAGAGTTTAGTGGGTCAGGAAAAGAAAAGGACAGATGCACATCTGCAGTTCAGCCTCTTGCTTCTCGTGTGTGTGCTTCCTCACCTCTCCGTAAATAGCTTTGTGTGGAACTCGTAAACTTTGACCCTGAAGCCTTGAGTTCAAACAGTCGTGACCCAAAAATGCTCCAGCTTTCACTCCCAGCTGGAACAGAGACAAAGTACCATATTTATTCAAGTATAATACGTAAAATCAAATTCATGAAATCATTCATAAAGATGGAGGGTAGTACTGTACTCGGATAAATATTTTTACTTATGTATTTTAACTGAAATATTGGCTTCATTCACAAAATTATTGAGTCCAGAAATGAGACGCGTTGTAAAAATCAGTTGAAACGAGCTCACCTCTGACACTCCTCTGTGCTTCAGAGTGAGATAATAACAGATMCAKSMRG